ATCATCAAATCCAGCCCCTATCAAAGAAGCACATTGGGGAATTGAACTCCCAACTGATGCCTAAACTACTGAGCTATCCTGCAGTTCTCTCTCAAAGACTTTTAAAGCAGTAAGGCATAACAACCAATTTGAAAACCCCACTCAGGCAGCCAGTCACTGAGGTAACTCTTGTCTGAAGAGAAAATCTTTTGCCTGCTTGCAGAAGGACAGCAAAGATGGGGGTCAGCCTGGCCTCTAGTGGGAGGGAGTTCCAGAGTCTGGGAGCAGCAACAGAGAAGACCCTCTCCTGTGTTCCCACCAAATGCACCTTTGAAGTGGGTGGGACTGAGAGAAAGGCTTCTCCTGATGATCCTAACACCCAAGCAGACTCATAAAAGAAGACGGATTTTTGCCTGCTTGCAGAAGGACAGCAAAGATGGGGGTCAGCCTGGCCTCTAGTGGGAGGGAGTTCCAGAGTCTGGGAGCAGCAACAGAGAAGACCCTCTCCTGTGTTCCCACCAAATGCACCTTTGAAGTGGGTGGGACTGAGAGAAAGGCTTCTCCTGATGATCCTAACACCCAAGCAGACTCATAAAAGAAGACATATTCCTTGAGATAACTTGGACCAAGCCATTTGGGGTTTTATAGCTTAGAACCAGCACTTTCAATTGTGCCTGGAACCAGCTCGGCAGCCAGTGGAACTGCAGTAACAAGGGAATTATGTGATCCCTATGATCAACCCAAGTTAACACTCTGGCTTTAAGCTTTTGGACCCACCGAAGTTTCTGATCACTTTCCAGAGGCAGCCTCATGCAGAGTGCATCCTCGGAAAAACCTTCACTGAAGTAGATTATAACCCACGAAAGCTCACACTGAAATAAACTGGTTAGCTTTCGAAGTGCCACAACTCTTTTGTTCTGAAAAGGTGATAAAGGATCTGGAACCTAAGCCCTGAGAAGGAACAGTTGAGGAAGTTTGGTATTCTAGGCCTAGAGGAGGGACCATCAAGAAGTGGTATGACAGCCATCTTCAAACATGTAGATGAGCAAGCTTGTTTTCTGCTTTTCTGGGGGCCAAGACCTGAACCAATGGATTCAAATGACAAAAATGGGGATTTTGGATAAGAATTTGCTGACAGGGAGAGCTGTCTAACAGCTGAAAGGATTTTCTCTGAAGGAGGTTGGGTGGGCTCTGCTTCCATAGAGGTTTTTAAAATAGCCCTGGAAGGCTGTTTGTCAGGGGTGATTTAGCAATGGATTTCCTGCATCAGCAGGGACCTGGACTAGATGGGGTGGGCAGGGTGAAGGGTGGCCCTGAAGCAACACGCAGTCCTTCAGCTCTTTTCATGGCCTGTCCCAGCACCCATTTCATTCAACAACGTAAGAGTAAATTGCAGCTCCTAGAATCAATGCGCCTTTTCAAAAGGCCTCTGTAGCATGTGTTGTTGTTACATGCTATCAAGTTGGAACTGAGTTATAGTGACCCTAACAGGGCTGTCAAGATGAAATATTTAAGGAATGGCTTTATCAGGTCCGCTCCCCCAGCGAGCTTCCATGGCTGAGCAGGGATTCGAACCCTGGTCTCCAGAATCCTAGTCCATCATTCTTTTCACTACACCACATTGAGTATCCTTCTATAGCACTTAACATCCCTCAAATATCAATTTTCCCAAACCAGAAGTAGACTTTTAACCACTTCTGGTTGTATGTGAGCTTGTGTGTCTGTCTGTCTGTATTTTTCAATCTGTGTGATTTCTAGAGATATCAGAAACAATTCTGGCGTGAACTGAAGTTTCTCGTGGAACTGTTCACTTCTACACCTTTGTCTATAAAAGTAGTTCAAGTCTTACTAAGATGTTATGTTGTCCTTAGAGCACCATTTAAGCAGGGTGAATGTTCCATGTGGCCAGAATCAGGTTAAAAAAAAGGATTGACATGCACAGTACCATGTTTAGTGGTAGAATATGCCAGAGGTTTGTGCCATAGTTAGATATGGTACTGCCAAGACTACACCATATACTGTATGTCTAAGTAGTACTATGATCATATATCCTACCTTAACAGATGACTGGCTTCTATTGGGAGGATTCTCCCATCTAAGTCTGGGATGGTGGTGGTTGTTATTATTAATCAGTTTGTCACATTTCTATCCCACATTTCCTCTAGTGAACTCAAGATGATATACCTTGTTTCCTTCTTCCCTGCTTTACCCTCAAAACAACCCTGTGAGGTAGATCAAGTTGAGAGAGTGTGACTAGTCCAAGGTCACCCAATAATTTCATGGCTGAGTGGGAATTTGAACACAGGTCTTCTAAGTCCTTGTAGAACCCTTTCACTCTGGCTAGAGAGCCGATATTAGCACATCTGGTCAGTCTTCCCCACTACATAGGCATACATTGTCTTTCACTTTAAATTACAGTTGTTTTTTTCTAAATGTGCATTGTTTTGCATATACAGAAAATCAACAAGTGCAGACTTGATGCAATTCTGTGCTTGCTTTAGTCCTCTTTGTTCTGGTGATGCAGTTCCTCTTTTTTGGCAAAAGTCTAAGTAAATTAACAAGTACATGCATAAACTAAGGACACAGCAGCCGTGAGGCTGTTTCCATGAACACCAAAGGCCACTGTTTTTCATATGTCACATCTACATTGCCACACATTAAAAAGATGCAATTATCTCTCTGTCTTTCTCTTCCCAGACTCTATGGTATTCTTCACCTATTATCAGTCTCTTGATTGTATGCAGTTATCATGCTGCAGAGTGGAAGAATACAGATTTAAGCTACATTTTTTTAAAAACTGAAAAACCTATGGATATTTTTGGCCTTGGGCAAGAGTACCAAGAACTACTGACCTAAATACACTGTTGTGAATCCATTTTTCCCCTCATGCAGCCAGATGAGATACTAACTATGGGTATCTCACAACCATAGTTTGTTGCAGAGTTCACACAGCATTAGCTTGACAAGATCAGTATTCAGCAATATTGTCGCCTGAAGAGTTGTAAATGATATTCCAGAGTTTGAATCATTCGGTCTTTTACAAACAAAAAACTGCTGGGACTGCCTTAACACGAGTGTTTGAAGCTTGGTTTGTATCGGTTATTTGAATTTTTGGACTAAGAAAAAGGATGGGAGAAGTAGTAGGTAACATGGAAGGATTATAAATAGAAGGTGACACTGGCTGGACTTGTGGGCAGCCCTACCATTGGGCAAAATGAGGAAGCTGCCTGAGACAACAGATTCTGAGGGGTGGGTCTTCTAACATCACAGAGGTGCAACAGGCAAGAGATGGGAGAGTGAGTGGAATTGCTTCTGGCCCAGTTGATTCTGGAAATGGGGGCATGATATACTCCCTGCCTTGAATCAAAGTGCATGCAGCCCTTCCTTCCTCTCCTGGCTTTTTAGGGCATTGACACTGCACAACACACTTGGGGGGGGGGGGGGAAGCAGCACAAAAATGTAACAAACAAAGAAAGACCTCTGAGTTAAGCCAGTGTGCCCTGAGGGCAGCTAGGAATGAGGGGTTGTGGTGACCAGCTTTAAAGCCACTTCATATGCCGAAATCACATTCCTCGTTCAATCCGCCTTCAGAGGCACTCACCTTGAGATCTGTCTCCCCATCTGGAGAAGCATAGCCATTCCCTGAGACTTCATCCAGAGCCCTGAGACCTGGTAACCTGGCACTGGTGCCAAAGTATTGGAAGAGAGAGCCATGTATGATATACAATCTCCTCCGTGCCTCTTAGATCTAGCCTGCGGTCTTCAAGTGCAGTGGAAGATGTTGTCCCATTGTTTGAGCTGAAGAAGGAACCAGCTAATCAGCTTTTGTAAATAAAATATGAGCGGCAATGTCATCGCCTTTGCCTTGGGCAACAAAATAGCATGGGATGATCCTGGATGAACCTTGTCTAAAATTCCATGTTTGGGATGGAGTAATGTCCAAATAAAACTTCTTCTGAAAGTACAGTACACTGCAAAATAGCTAAGGTTGGAAAAATCTCTGCCTCTGCTTTAATAAGCTTTTTTTGTGTTTTATATGTAAAAGATTTGTACTCTTCCTGATAGCTCAGTGGTTTCAGATTGGGAGTTTGATTCTCCACTGTGCCTCCTGGGAGTAGGGCCAGCTTGGGTGGCCATTGGCAAGCTGCACAGACCCAGAAATACCCTCAGAAGAGTGGAATGGTCAAGGACTTCTGATTATTGTCTACCTGGAAAACCTTCAAAAGGATTGCATATGTCAGAAATGAGTTGACAGAACATTTATTATTATTATTATTGTTGTTGTTGGTGGTGTTGGTGTTGGTGGTGGTGGTGGTGGTGGTGGTATTGTTATTGTTATTATTTATTCACCCTCCCTGCTTGAAGGTTGTGGGCAACACAGTACAGTATAAAAGTATGAAATACTGAGGGTACAAGCCAATCGAAGTCCAGCATTTGTAAAGTTGCTATCCTCAACACATTTACTTGAACAGGAAGTTGTACTGAATCCAGCAGGTCTTGCCTCCGAGCAGACACAATAGGATAGTGCTAGAAGTGCCATTGATTTTTTTCCACAGGAAGAGATATAAGCCTATGTTAAATAGTCCCCTTGAAACTGGATAGATTTAAACACATTTAACTCAGCTGGATCATGTGCTGTATAACTTATCAATTGCAAATAAATCCCGGTAAAATGGGTCGATAATAATAGTTCAGAACTTTTAAAAGATTGAAACATAGGCTACTTCTCTATCCCTGTGACAGAGAGATAAAATATAATGGTGGCAAGGTAGCCATAAACTTGTGGAGAAGCCACGTTTACTGCAGTACCTCATGTTTACTCTGTGCGCCTCATAACATTACATCTCCCTAGTGAGATTCTACCCCCTGATGCAGATGCTTTTGCCCAGCCGGTTTGTGACAGGAGCTTGTGTTCTCAACAGCTGTTGGCGTCTTTCAATGGCACCGTCCCATCTGCCACTCAACACTCCCTCAGCCGGTGCCAAAGCTGCTCCGACAGAGGTGCTTTTGACTCCTATTGGGACTGGGCAGTCAGGCCTGGACTGTATTATGTGCCATGCTCTCCCCTCCAGCTGTGGTTCTGCACCCCTACAGCCTACCTGTCTACCCGCCGGCACCTCCATGTTACTCCGGGCTGGTTCAGGTACGACCCTTTTCCGTTCTTGCGTGTGGGCGTCGGTGTGGGTCCTGCTGGCCGTGTCATTGACAGGGCCCAGCTGTGGCTGGCTGGTGGTCTTGAGGGGACAGCTGATAAAGCCTCCCCCCACAGATAAATCCCTTCATTCCTGAGTTATTTTTACAGAATTGCTCAGAGAGAAATGGGGAGGAGAGAACGTCTTTTCCTTGTAAGGGGAGAGATATTTATGGCTCATGTGGGAACAGAGATATCAAACCCTTTTTTTTTTTACCTGATTATATGGATTCTGTTCAGTATATCTATCAAATGGACCCCGTTAATAGGCGGGCCTCTCAGGGGTGAAATCCCTGGAGGTTTAATTACTCACTAATAAGACAGTTAAAATGGGGATGCCACACAGAAGATCGTCATGTTGGTAGATAAAGACGATAGATTTGACAAAAGGGAGAGACCTTGTGAAAAAGAGTACATACTGCTCCAACTTGGGGGTTTGGCTTTCTTTTGGAGGTCCATCATCCTAAGGACCTGTTTCCTTAAACTCCCTAAGTTAGTAACAGTGGTGCCAGTTGCTTTTGATTGAAATGCCGTATCTGAACTGTTCAGAGTTGATGACATGTCTGTTTACATGCAGTGGAGAGTTAAAACCAGGGTGTTCTTATTTACCTCGCAAGTTTAAATGTTTTTCTGAACTACTTGGAAGAGAAATAGGGTTACGTAGGTTGCCAGATCTCAGGAGTCCTGGATGAAATTTCAAGAAATTGCTATGCTTCTCTGGGTCTCTAGGCAGGAAGACAAATCTCAGGGAAAGTGGCTCACTAGGGTCAATAATGGTCTGTTGTTGTTGTTTTTAAAAAATGTGAGGTGACTTGAAGGGCTGGAACATTCATCTCTACCCATCCTGAGCTGGCACCAGGTTCAGTGGTTCAACACAAAGGTGTTTTACTGGGTGCACAAGCAGTGTACACCAAAAAGCCAGGAGGAAGAGACAAGGCTGGTGAGAAAGCTCTTGCTGCAAATAGGCCCATTATGCCATTTGCAGTGAGGAAAGGATTATTGTTATTGTTGTTGTTTCAACTTACATAGCACCCTATAGTCTCTGAACATTTTACAACATAGTTATACAAGGAACACTTTGCCCCCCAGCGAGCTGGGTATTCTTTTTATCAACCTCAGAAGGACGGAAGGCTGAGTCAGTCTTGAGTCAGCTACTTGAACTCATTGGGACCGAACTCAGGTTGTGAGAAGAGGCTTGACTTCAGTACTGCATTTATACACTGCATCATAGGGAGTAAAGTGTCAGCACTGTAACTCACGAGACTTCTTGTTTCACAAGGCCTGACGGCACCACTGTTGAGCCTGGGGGTGAGTGGGACTTAGGCAGACAGAGAGCCTTCTGCAATTTCCAGCAACAGTGTACATCCTTGGAAAAGCTTGCCATGTGCCATGTGTGCTAGTCATCAGTCCTCATTAACTGTGAGCCCTACCAGGAATGATGGCAACTGCTCAAACGGCTGAGTGAATTTTGCTGCCTGCTCGATTTTCAGAAGAGCACTTCGTCCCCAGTTCCAGATTGCCATGTTGCCTGGTTAGCCAGGCTTTCCTCAGACAATTAACCTCAATTCCCCTTGTATCAATTTCCACAGCTAGCTGTTCACCTGGCAGCACTAAGTGTATAATGACTAACTGGGCAGATCACCCAGCATATGTAGGGTTAGTAAAATTCCTTCTGATACCAAAATGACTCCACCATACTGTGGTTACATGAAGGATGCTACTGAGGCACATCTCTTGAACCATGAGCTGCTTTGTTGGTAGCTCCAAAGAAAATGGCTGCTATCTTAAGGATTTGTTTCCATTGTGTACAAGATTTGCTCCCTTTGGATATTTGCACACTGAGAGGGATAGCACAAGTTTGTTTTTCTCTCAGATTGTCTTTTGTGCTTGTTTTAGTTTTCTCTTTCAAATAATGTAGCGGCGTGGCCAAAATACTCCCAACAAAACCAGTTGTTTGACATGCTTGTGGAATTATTCGTGACTCTCAGCTTCTCTTACATCTGCCAGAAGGCAGAGAGGAACACCTATGTTTATTTTACTTATTTTAAGACTATTTTTGTAAAAGAGTTTCTCCTGTCAGGTTTATAACTGTCCTTTCTCCTGAATGCAACGAGCAAAGGTGGCTTGCGGGATGGTGAAAGCCATTCAAATCCCCACAGAAAGCCACAATTTAAAGTGAGACAACAAAGCCCACAAGTAACATGGCAACAAAAGTGGACACATCAGAGTTAGTCGACAACAGTGCGGATGGCAAACCAAAGCAGGCCCCAGAGCCATTTCAGGACCCAGGAAGAACACCTACTGTATAGGATGGGAAATATAATGGAAAAGATATAGTTTACTGACTATTATTTATCCTTTACGGTAGCCTAAAAATATGTTGCCCAAGGCTGCAGACTGCACTTCTTCTGTGCCATTAAAGTAATGCAAATGGTCTGTGATTTTTGTTCTTGTACCCAGGAGGCAGGACATAATTATGACTGTCTTGTGCCTTGTAACATCCCAGATCAACTTTAATATACATATGGAAACCAGGCGGGGGAAAAAGGCCTTGGTGAGCTTTCTAAATATTAAGCTTTTCCTTCTCATATACTATAATAGGCACAAACCCATCCCCCCAAAAATTTGGGGTTGGGAAGGATATTTTATTAACTATAAAACATTTGGAAAAAATCAGCCCGTACAAACACTTAAACTTTTTTCCCCAGCTAGAAAACAAATTATTATTATTATTACAGTATTTGTAATTATATCCAGCCTTTTCTTGCAATGAAATCAAAGTTGCAGTCATAGCAGTTTGACTCTTTACCTTCACAACAACCCTGTGAAGTGGATCAGTCTGACAGAGACAGATTGAGCTAAAGTCACTCAATATAGTTGTTAATTCACTGAGGTCTATAAACTGAAATCTCCTAAATCTTAATCCAACATTTGAACCATTGCACCACACTGTCTGCCCAGTGTGGTCGTTACTAGCAGAAGACAATCTGTCCCAGGCTTCTTTTTTTTGATACTCAGAGGGAAAAGAAGGGAAAAGCTATGAAGCAGTTACTGAGAATGCATCTAGGCACATATATCCTTGGTGATTCTGGTGCTGCAAGGGAAGTGAAACCACTCCTGGTTTTACTCTAAACTTTATGGGTCCTTTACACAGTTGAGTCAGGATAGGATAGTGCACAGAGTACTGGACCACTGAAACTGAGGGGACCTGCATTCAAATCCCCACTTATTAGGGGGTTGGCAATGGTAAAACCACTGCATAAATATATCACTGACCTTGGAAACCCTACTAGGATCACCATAAGTCAGAACCAACTTGGTGGCATATAAAAACACACATCCCAAATGCTAACTCTTGTCTTGTATATCCAGTAGTAGAAGACCTGGAATGGATCCACTGCCACCAGGACATTGGAGCTACCAGCCTCCACTGCTTTAGTGACGGCTGGTGTCCACTGGGAATGGTGGGGCTGAAGGCACAATGGTGGGAGGAGGGGGACAAAGCAGAGATGGGGCCGTTTGAGTTGGCATATTTTTCCCTCTTCACAAAACATACACACAGTTATGTAAGTAAGCATGCATTCCCATACAAGCATACACAGCTGAGGAGCCTGAAACCTCAGCCTAAATGCATAATGTTCCTACTTAACACTGCTTCCTGGTGTGCCTTATTTCAAATTTAGGCAGTTGAGTTACTCACTTGCATTCATGCTCTCCCTCCCTTCCTCCCCCTCAACGTGATGAGGTCTACAGTTCTGCAAGAGGTGATCACGGGAAGGGCCTTGATCCTCCATGTCAGGAGAAAGAGGAGACCAGGAACAGGTTGACTGGGTGTAGCCTAAGCCTGAGGTGGGGCAGTGCCCCAATTATACTGTTTACATTAGTGTGGACTTACCAAAGTCTTGTTGATTCAATGGGTCTACTTAGTTGGGACTAACAAGTGGATATAGCCCAGTAAAACTGGTCCAAGGTCCCCCAGTATGTTTCATGGCCAACTGGGGATTTGAACCTAGGTCGTCTTATTCCGAGTCCAGTACTCTAACCACTGCACCACACTCCCTGTATGCCTAGTGTGTTCTAGGAAGCCAGTGAATGGACAAGCATAACTTGCAACATTTCATAGTTGTGAATTGTCCGTGTGTACTTGCAAGATTCGTAGTCTCATACTGAAAATTATTGCCTAAATGTGAATCTTCCCCTAGGAATGTATACCTCCCAGGTAAACATTGTTCATCTTCTCCTGCCATTGTATACATTATTTATTTATTTATTTATTTATTTATTTATTTACTTACTTACTTACTTACTTACTTACTTACTTACTTACTTACTTACTTACTTACTTACTTACTTACTTATATTTACTTACTTATTTTATTTTATTTTATTTCTGGAGCTTTTATACCACCCAATCCCATATGATATATCCATGGCTACCTCTGGGTCATTTTAGAAGGGGATTACATAAATTAGGAAATGAGGAGATGATGCTCTTAATGACTGCTAGTCAAACTGGTTACATACTGTATTACCTTCAGTGTTAGACACAAGGGGCCTTTCAATACCAGCTGCCAGGGATCCACAAGTGGGAAGGGAAAGTCACACCATTGCCATTTCTTGTGAGCTTCCTTTTGGGAAATCCGTGCAACCACTGTTGAAACCAAATGGTGGACTACATAGCTCTTTGGCATGGCCCCACAGAGTTTGTCTCGTGATCTTGGATTCCTTTGCAATTAAATAGTCCATCCTGCCACTGCCGGAGCAAAAACGTGTGTCAAAACTCACTACAGCAGCTTTTAAATTGCCATCCTTCAATGGCTCGGGTGGCATTTGTTGTGAATTACCTGTGACTCAGACGTGTTTTGCAGGATTTCCTTTTTAGGTAGGAGGTTATAGGCAGATCTTGGAAATAATAGCTAAAATCCAGTAGCGTAACTTACACCACGTAAAAC